ATAACTATGTTCTAACTGAAGTGCTATACAAAACTAACTATCACTTCTCCGTACGGATGTGTAAAATTTATTACATTTCTCAAGCCGTGTTTCGTTTTCTCCTAAAACAAAAATGGTTTAAATTAACAAAAGACTCGGTTAAAGTTAATTTGGATTCACTTCAACATAATTTATTTGGATTTGATTGGCTGTGAAAATAATTCTGTTTTATTTAATAATTTGCATTGCAATGCCGGGGAAAAGACATGCTGACATAGGTCGGCGAAGTCAATAAAATGAACAACGAGCTACCTCACATGCCAACTACACTGATGACCAGCGAGCGACCGAAAATTTTATTATTCGTATTGGTATGTCCGAATTACATTCGAGAGCGACTGGAAATTTACGACAAGAAAAAATCCAAGTTCTCTGATTTTCATATTTCCATTTTATTAAACTGAGCAAGGCATGGCCGGGCAACTCCAGTTCTAAATAATAGCACTAGTTTTATAATATATATTCCACCAATTAAAACAAGCTGGAGCTTAAAAATACTTTAGAATAGATTTACGCGCTTTTTCTTCCTTATTTTTTATGAACAACTAAATATTTCATTTGTTTCGTAGTTTAATACGAATTTTCGTATTTTTTGCTTGATGCATTTCGTAATTCGCATTATAGCAATTTAACTTCCTTTTTCATGACATCACTGTTCAGTGTCTATTATAAGCTGTTGCTCTATACCAAAATCCATATATGTATATTGATACAACAGCAATGACTTCGCTGAGAATGTCTAACTAAATACAAATACGATCTAAATGAAATTATATTTTTAGAGCTTCGCAATGTGCCTGACATTGAACTTGGTATAAAAACCTTGCGATTTTTTTTTTAAATTCAAGATTCAACGAGACAAAATTCCACGATAAAATTAGCACATTATATCGGAAGCAATAAAAAAGAGATTGTCACCCAATAGTAGTTGGCGAATGATAAACTTAGATTTAAATACCCATGTTCAATTTGTTTTTATGCTGAAATTTAGATTTTTCGCATTTTAGTGACTTATTTAAGTTTATTAACACATCATCGCACGCAGAATGCGCTCCATACAAGAATAATTTGCATAAACATTTACACAAAAAAAAATAAATAAAAAATAAATAAACTACTTTTTAAAGCAACCAACTTCCGAATGATAAATGACATCGCTAAAAGCTACATATGTTGATGGCAGCGAGGGTGTTGGCGAGCAGTGAGCACTCCCGGCTCTGTTTTGTGAATATGAAATCTTACACTTCCCATGCCTCTTCGCCCAGTTGCCATTGCCTTTTCTACTCTAACTTAGTTTTCATAACTATGCCTTAAAATGTTGTTTATTTTTGTATGATTTGGTTTTCTGCATAATTTAGCCATTATACAAATAAGTCTAGCTAATGGAGAAAAATAAAACATTAAATGCTGCGCGCAGACCTCTATTAAAACAAATTTGGAAGTTTTCTATTGCTGCTGCTTTTTTCTTTTAATTCTTATCGCAAAAGCCATAAACAAAGTGGCAAAACTTACATGCTCCCAATTTGCCAATTTTTTTGCTATTGTTGTATAATATTATAACACCGTGGGACACAGTAAATTTTACACACAAAAAAATAAAAATAATATATTCGCGAAACTGTGGGTAAATTATAGTAAAACTGCGTAACTAGTTTTTCTCTCTGACACCAGGATTTTGTTGAAAAGGACTTTGGAATTTAAAAAATATGTTTAATTCAAAAATTATTTAAAAAATTCAGTGCAATGTAGGATAACATTAAGGGTGTCATTTAAAGAAAAAATTCTGTAGAATTTTAACAGAATAAATTTTTTGATGCATAAGGACNGACGAAATGGTTATGGAAAATGTCCTTTACAAATTGTGTCCTTGAATATCCTTGACAATTTGCAATTTTTTTAGTCGGGGGTTCGGAAGTCGAATACCGGTAACTCGAAAATCATGGGTGGTTGATTTTCGAGTTACCGGTATTCGACTTTCCGCTGTCGCATTAAACATGGAGTTGTCCTAAGGGGTGACAATTGACTCCCGCTGCGTAACTTTGCCCTAGTACTTGTAGTAGTAACTCGTAGCCTGTAACCGAACCACGTTTTGTATCTCGCTGCGTTACCAGGTACTAGTAATAATAAAGGCTTCCATAACAAAAGACATTTACTTGCGTTTGATAAAAATCAACAAAGCACGCCAGTCGTTACTTTTCTGTGCCAACTGACGACAAGTGAAGCCAAGCCTTTCTCCACCTGGTTTTTCCATCGCGGTGGGGGCCTCCCTCTTCCTCGCTACTACCAGCGAGTTCCGGGTTGAATACTTTTAGAGCTGGAGCGTCGTTGTCCATTCGAACGACATGGCCAAGCCAGCGGAGCCGCATTATTTTAATTTTCGCTGCACTATGGACGTCGTTGTAAATCTCATACAGCTCATTGTTCCATCGTCTGCGGTACTCGTCGTCGCCAACGCGTAAAGGCCCGTAAATCTTCCGCGGAATCTTTCACTCGAATACTCCAAGAGCCGCCTCATTGGATGTGGTCATTGTCCATTCTTCTGCGCCTTAAACTAAAAAGGGCATGATAAGTGACTTATAAGAGTGTGGTTTTCGTACGTCGAGAGAGGACTTTACTTCTGAATTGTCTACTCAGTCCAAAGTAGCACTTGTTGGTNCAAGGGCATGATAAGTGACTTATAAGAGTGTGGTTCTCGTACGTCGAGAGAGGACTTTACTTCTGAATTGCCTACTCAGTCCAAAGTAGCACTTGTTGGCAAGAGTGATTCTACGTTGGATTTCCATGCTGACATTATTATCGGTTCCCAAGTAAACGAAATTCTCTATTTTCTCGAAATTATAACTGTCAACAGTGACGTGGGTGCCAAGGCGCCGACGTTTAGAAAATAAGAAAACCTATATACCCCTATGTTATTCGACATGCTGAATGCGAATCCGAGGTCCTTTAGCCTCCATCACGTCAGGTTCGTGGTCAATTGAAGGTCAGGTAGGGAAAGATTCATTGAATAAACCTGCAAACTCAAGGTACCCCCATATTCGGACTCAGCGACAACAAAAAACATTTTTGTTTTTTTTTGATAAATGACTTGTCCAATTTGACCCTCAACTGACCACGAACCTGACATTATGGAGGCTAGCGGACCTAGGATTCGCATTCAGCAGTGTGAGCTTGCGGAGAAAATTTTGTGCAAAAAGGAAGAAAAAGTATGTGTTAACGAGAGAACATACGTCGAAGCGGCATTCAGCGAAGTTCAGGGCGTTGAGATTTATAATGCAACAAAGACAAATGGGGTCCAAGATGCCTTCAAGCTAAAAATGTTGGACAAGGTCCTTGGTTTTTGTTATTTTTTGGCCTAATATATACTTGGTGTGGCAAGCCATCTGCCAGTGTGGCACGAAGAGCAAAAAATTTATTATCACGGGATCTAAAAATCAAGTAATTTATATGAAAAAGTGTTTGCAATAACGTTTTCTGTCGTTCATAATGCAACATAAGGGCTCAGTTCTTTTCTGACGCGATTCAGCATTGAGCCATTACAGCCCTCTTGCCATGAACTGGTATGTCAGATACGGAGTAGATATTGTTCAAAAGGACCACAACCCATCAAACTCATCACAATGGCGACCCGTTGAAAATAATCGATAGAAAATAGTTAAAAACGAAAGGAGACAATCTAATGTTAGTAGTATTTCGAAAATAATTGGCAGAGAGCAGCAGATACCGTCACAAAAACAGGTGTCCATATCCTAATGAGAGTGCTTAAATGTAAATGGTGCCATTCTGTTTATAATGAAGATAATTGAAAAAAGCTTTTTGCTTAATATAGTAAGCTGAATAAAGAAGATGACAAAACAGAAACCTTTTTTCTTAGGTTGTGTAATATGTTGTTATAATTATTTTCGGCTGACTAAAATTTTTCGTGTCCATTCTTTATGTTACACTTTTTGGAATCTTCATCTTGCATCAATAATGAGTGAATCGAAATATCTCCAAAGAAGGAATTTTTGGTACAACTTTACCAGAAACTATACATTTATATACTACGATAGTTGTTTAAAAATAAAAATGAATCATCCAAACTACTATTAATTGCTAACTCGTTTAGTGCATTGTTAACTAATTAATTACCGACCTGCATTAATTCACACAATAGGCTTTCAAGCAAGCCGTCTACAGGCGACAGAAAACGACAGTGCACTTACATACATACATACANGTCAAGCAAGCCGTTTACAGGCGACAGAAAACGATAGTACACTTACATACATACATACATTCCTATAAACACATGTTCACATGTAAAACAAGAGTGTGAATCTGAACAATCCAACAACAAAAAAACCAACCAAAAACAAAAAATAGCAAGGCAGGGTCAAAAAACAAAAAACTTGCTCAAGAAGATCAATACCACATTAATAACAATATCTATTAATCCATGTTTGTCTTGGAATTCATGCCGCCTGGTTCACTCAATTAAATGAACTCAATTTTTGTTGGTGCGCGGCTACAATAAAATGTCACACTTTTAACATTAGACCAAATGAAAATAAAGGCAATAATAAAGACAATAGCATTAAGAGGTTTGTTAGGCCTATCGAATTGGTTTCAATGTAAAATATATATTATGCAGACGAACACAACGACACAAAACCAAAGCAAATCTACATATTTGAAATGTGATGCACAAAAAATTGAAGATGCTCAATTTATGCAGCAGCCACATGAAAGGCAAGAGCGACCCCCACATTGTATATAAACTATGTAGATCATTAGGCCTATATCCAGTAAACCAATTCAATTCGATACTAAAACATCAGCGCGGTGTGTCGGGACAAACTAAGCGCGAAACGTCTAAGGAAAATTAAAAAAAAAACGCAAACGAAAAATATCAGCGCAAAAGGTGCTGAAGTGATTGTGAAGCTATTAAAATTTATTAAAAATATATTTTTATTAAAACGAAAATGCGTGTCCTGATCGTGATCGTCGCTATCTGTGCTATCGGCATCTATGCCGCTCCTCAACATGGATATGACTACGCCAGCAGCAGCAACAGTGTATTATCAGCACGCGCTGGCAGCAACGGTATCCTTCCAGTTGGCGGTGGTGGTGGTGGTGGTGCTGGTGCTGTTGCCAACGGTCAAGGCAATGCTCTAAACCATGGCAGCGGGCGCGGTGGTGACAAATATTTGCCACCCGAATCCGACCAACAATCACCACTCATCAATAAACAATTCTACACAATCTCCGCACCCGAAGATAATACACCGAAAGCAAAACATTTAGTTTTGGGCAAACCGCAAAAGAACTACCGTGTGATCTTCATCAAGGCACCACAACCCGATGACGTTAAGTATTCGGCTGAATTTGCACCACAAGAAGAGAAAACTGTTATCTATGTGCTGCACAAGAAGGGCGAAGATGTCGATGCGGCCAACATTGCCACACCAGCGCCAACCGTGCCGAGCAAACCAGAGGTGTTCTTCATCAAATACAAGACACCTGAGGAGGCACAACAAGCCCAGAAAGAAATTCAGGGTGAGTATTTAGAAGATTCTCAACCAAAGAGTAACTGACGATTAGGTCACAATACATAGAATTGAAAGCATTACAAAGGGGCTCGTATGCATGCTAATAATTTCTTTATAATTTTCAACTTTCAGATCAATACGACCAACTGGGCGGAAACAATCAATTCGGCGAGGATACGGCACCTATTACCTCGGTCGTTGGCGCTTTGGACAGCCTCAATCCTGATGGCAGCTATAATTATCGTCAAGTGAACAGCAACAGCGGCAGCTCTAATTTGTCTGACGCTCAGCAGCCCAGCTCACAACAGCAGCTCAGCACACAATATTTGCCATCTTTCCTAAAGCTTTAAAATTGAGATTTGACACGAATTTACGACCTGAATACCTATTTAGTTTTAGTAAGTAGACTTTTTNACAATTCGTGATTTGATGTTCTCGGGAAAGACCCAGCAGAATTTGCATACTTTTTTTTTGGTATTTTCTTATTAGTTTGGCATTCTTTTTACGTGGGATTCTTTTCGCTTGATACTAAAATAAGCTGCACCGTTTCGTGAATTCCTTTAGCGCAAAATGTATGAATATTGTTGCTGTTTATACAAAGTTTAGTATCAGCTATTAAGCTAATATTGGAAATACCCAGAATGAACAGCTTGTCATCATCCCTTAAATGTACATGGTTCCATAAAATATTTAGTAGTAAAATATTTGGTATTTATTTACAGTTTTTAACTCGGCAAATAATTTTTTATAAGAAATGGAAACAATTTTTTTAACCATTTCGATATTCCGCCCACCAGGCATGGAATCTGGGGACACTAAGTAGTCATACAAAACTTTGATCTGATCACATCTTTTGTACTTATTGGGCCACCGTGATAGGTACAAGTTATTTTTAAGCAAAAAACAAAACCGACTTCAATTCTCATATAAAAATTTAAGATTATCGTTAATCTCTTCATGATCCAATGATCGTATTTCGAATGGGGCCACCTGTGAAGTAACACCTTTCCTTTAAAAAATAATTGTAGAAATCAGTTAACGTGCTCAAAAGTTATGCGGTAACATATTTACATACATAAAAAAAAATAAGTGGCACAATTCAAAATATGGCATTTTTGAAATAATGCGCTAAAAATGTACACAGAGCTTTTATTCACCTTACAGCAAAAGTTGGAGCAAATTTTTGTTATAATTTGTTGAAAAAACTTAAGGTAAATTCTCCCTGCCCATATGATTAGCAGAAAATTTGAATATTATAAATTTTTGGATAATGGGCGTGGCGCTGCCCACTTATGACCACAAATGTGTATCTCGGTAACCGATTTACCACTTTCCACCAAACTCGGCGCACTTAAAAACCTTGTTACGGAAAAGCAATTTGTTGAAAATTATGCAAATCGCACTAAAATTACAACCGCTTCCCCTTATAACGGTAAATTTCAGAAATACGAAAACTCCTATATTTCAATAACTGAGGACGCTAATTTAGTTCAAGTTAATAGTTACGACAAAGTTAATAGTTACAACAAAAGTAGTTCAGTAGTACTTGTTTTTAAATGCGGCCGAAGGTCGCCTCCGCGGAAAAGTGTTCTGCGCAAAACTACTGTGGCCCCTGATCTAGTTTAGCCTAGGCAAAACTAGTTTGTTCTTAAATCGGGTTTGGCCGGTACCATATACATAGGTGTATCTCCAAAATTAGTTTCTATTCGTACTTATCTCCCTTAAAATAGTTATTTTCGAAAATATTACATATTTACAGATCATATCTCGAGGATATATAAAATTCGGGTTTCGCCCGTTCAGTACACGTTTTGGTGAAGCTCTAAAGATTAGTATATTTTCTACGTCAAAAATGTTTACCAAAATTTATTCGACAGGGCAGTTGTAGCTCTATCAGGCAAATTTTTAGAAGACATGTTGATCCTATAAGAATCTATGTATTTTGTTTACAAATTATCAGCAAAATGTAAGTGCGATTCATAAAACGTGACAAAGTGGCATTTTTGGCGAAATGGCGATGTTGCGAACAAAGTTGTATGAACGACCTATCCCAACTCCGGATTGCAAATGTAAAATTAAAAAAAAATGCCGCGCGTTAGAGAAAAGAAAAGTTTTTACAATTATATTTCGAAGCAGCCTCAACTGATATAATTTTTCTTTAAGTATTTGAAGACAATAAAAAAACATTTGTTTCGCGACTTTGACTTTGCAATGATTGCCAGCTGAAATACTATGGCAATTTCGCGATTTTGTCGCAAGAAAGTTTCCATAAAAAAGTAATCAGCTATGTCGCAAGGTGACAAGTGCGACATTGTCAACAACTTTACGACATTTCATGAATCCCACTATAATATTTGTCTGAACATTTGTATGTTTGCTCAAAACGCTTCATTACCATATTAGGTGTAGTTTATAAATAAGCATCAAAGAATACGCTATTTAATTTATCACATAAGACCGTTAAATTCAATTTTACGCTAATTTAAGCGGAAAAGTATTTGGGGCGATTTTTGGGAAAGATTAATTTTAGTTTGGCGGCAAATAAACGACGCTATAAGACATAAGGAAGGCGACAAACCAATGACTAAGCTGTGCCGCGCCATGCCGTGCCCGTAAAAACGCGTCTGAGTTGCGCTCAATACAGGCAGCGAGCTAAGAAGATTATGGGCTGGTTTCTCCAACTCAACTTAACTTAGTTAAGCCATTTTTTGGACTTAAGTCAAAACTTTAACTACTTTTTATTCAGCTTATTTTTAACTAAGTCCAAAAAATTGGCTAAACTAAGTTAAGTTGAGTTGGAGAAAGCAGCCTTATGAGTTGCGAAAACAATAGACGAGATGCGCTAAAATGCAATAAAATTCTTAGGTAAGATTATGCAAAACGGATACTACATACAAGCGACAAAAAAAAGCGTGAAACCATTTATTCGTTTCACAAAAAAAAAATCACTCAAAAAAAAAAATCACTCAAAACTAAATTGATAGCATTTGAAGTCAAATAAGGAGCGTTAAAGAATAGCAACTCGCTCAAGTAGGCGCCGCTGCGGTGCGGTGTGCTTTTTGGTACGATATACATATGTTGTTGTTGTTGTTGATGCTTCTAAGACAAATTATATACGAAATCAGAGCAATGCGTTTTACGCTCAACTTTTACCTCGAATTTGTCAACCGAACCGAACAACGTACGCCGGCGATCGATGCCAACGCCTTTGATCACTCCGCACGATGCGCGAAAATTTGCATTGATTTTGCGAATTTGTAGTGCGAAAAAGCGTAACAATTCGCATATAAAATGATAATGCAATTCAGACAGGTCAAACAGTGCAACCGTAACCCTCTTAAGAGGATCAACGCAGTGAACGAACAGAGTACAAAAGTGTAGTGTCTGTGTTTGTGTGAAAGAAACAAAAAGTCACCTTAGTTTTGTTCGGTCATTTTTTTTCCACAAAGGATTACTTCAGTTTTTACGCCATAACAATGCGCTCCTTCGCTTTACTCGCTTGTTTGGCGACCATTGCAGCCGTCAGTGCCGCACCACAATTACGATATGACTATGGAGCACAACCAGCGGCCAGCAATTTTGTGTCCTCAGCACGGGGTGGTGAGAAATATTTGCCACCGGCCACCACAACACAACCGCCCAGCGTACACAAACAATTCTACACGATTTCAGCGCCGGCGGATGATAATGAAAATTCTAAGCCAAAACATTTGGTCATCGGGCGCCCACAGAGGAACTATCGTGTGGTCTTCATAAAGGCACCAGGCTCTGATAACTCTAATCTCAAATTGTCAGCCGAATTTGCACCACAGGAAGAGAAGACTGTCATTTATGTGCTCAGCAAGAAGGATGATGAGCTGACAGCCAATGACTTTGCCACACCAGCGCCAACAGCGCCCAGCAAACCTGAAGTATTCTTCATTAAATACAAGACACCCGAAGAAGCGGCAGCAGCGCAGAAGG